ATTTGACATTGTTGAATAAAATCATCAATTATGTTATTTCCAGATGTCCAAGTAGTGAAAAGACTCTGTAATTGTAAACTAATACAACCTTCACAGAATCTATCAGAGTAACTTGTCAATTTACACTTGTCACATTCTTTTGGTTTGCCCAACTTGTACATTGCATTATGTAATTCAAACTCATAAATAAACCTTTTCTTACAATATTCCTTTTCATTTTCAGAAAGCTCTCTGTTTTTCTTGACTAATGAAAAAAAATAATCTTTTCTACTTTCTCCATTAAAATTAACTGCTGCATTATAATGAATTTCAATATAAATTTTATATACAAATTCCCTTTTTTTTGATGATAACGATGATAATGGTTCATAATGTGACATTATATAGAAATATAAAATATAAATTTGACTTGGTGTGAAAATTTTTTTTGAGAATAACAGTTACATGATTTCCTTTTTAACATATACTATTACTATTACGGTTTCTTTCTAAGTGAAATGTCCGTAGATTTTAATCTTACTAAATTTGAAATGTTTGGTTGTACTGGAAATATTTCGCTGCAGCTACGATAACGAATCACGAATCTTTTAAACATTTTGTTGTGTTTATTTTACATCACCGTATCATGCGAATTCCTATTTCTATCTATTTGGCAACCGTAAAATTTATCTATTTTTGTTCAAAACATTATGGTTGAGTGAAGCAGATACTCGACCGAAAGAAAATCATGTTTCGCTTTAGATGTTTTTTGCTGTCTATCGTTCGTTACCTATCATTTGAGAGATAGTGGATGATCTGGATAGGAAAATTTTTATTTTTTTTAATTCCTTTCGTAGAAAACAAATAAATTGCATTGATTTAATCTTTGCAAAGGGGGTTTTTTTTAATTAAGAAAAAAAGCTTAATTGATTTTTTTTTTAACGTAAACTTTTGATGTTTGCATGAATCCTATTTTTCTATAGCGATAGACTTGGAAAAAAAAATTAAATTGATCCAATTGACCTTTAATCGGAGAAAACAAATGAAATCCATTGATTAATCTTTTCAAAGATTTTATTTTTTTTTAATTAAGAAAAAAAAGTTATTGATTTTTTTTTAACAGTCGAAGTTTGTAAATAAATTTTGATGTTTGCATGAAGTTTATTCTTCCAAACCCCCCAATTGATTCAATTGTCCTTTAATCTGAGATAAATAAACATACACGAGGAAAAGATCAGGATAAAAAAGATCTTTTTTTTAATTAGGAAAAAAAGCTTGATTTTTTTAACAATCGAAATTCGTAAACAACTTTTGATTCACACGAGGTTCTTCTTTGCAAAGGATTTTTTATTAAATTAGTGAACAATTTCCCTTTGTACGTGTAATTTTTTTTAAATAAATAGATTTTTAGCTCAATGTAACGAATAGAATAAAAATATTGATATAATAATAATAATATAACTGACTAATATTGATGCTCCGAACAAATATATAGATACCTCGCATTTGAATGTAACGTGTAAAGCCAAATCATACATAGGACGCCATCTCGGCACTACGTGCCTCGGCCCTCGAATTTGAATACAACGTAATTTTGCAATTTTTTGGTCACAAGTAGTGTAGCGAATTTATTTATATGTTTTTGTTGTAATTTATTAGGCTACTCGATCAATGCACCATCTGGCCATGAAATAGCCTATTTTTATTAAAGTTCGCATCATTGATCATGAATACATGATAGGATGCTAAGACTCTTCGCATCCAGTGCAAATTTTAATGTTCCGAACGAATATATATATGTATGTGATTGAGTCGTGTGATTTTATAATATTACGATGATTGCTTTAAGTTTTCTGACAGAATTAATTGATAGGGATATAAATTGAAAAGCGAAAGTGCATTCTTTAAAGAACAACTTTATCATTACCAAACTCTAGCGATCGGTTTATCATGATTCAACAATAAAAGAATTTTAGCGTTCTTTGAAGATCAAAAAGTGATAAAAATAGAAAACAAAATTAAAACTTACAAAGATATCTACCAAAACCTGGGTGTGTTATGTAAAGGTCATTCTAAGTGCCAATATTGATCAATCTATGTTGCTTCAAACCCAGACACTAAAGACAGCTCAAGCACATTATTAATACCGGTCTTAGGGAAAGATAAGGCCTATTTTATAGCAACCCATGTAAAAGCTGCTGAAGCCTTTCACTTGTCCAAAGCCTTCCAACTTGCTTTTAGTCGAATTTTAAAATGACTCAATTCAATTCGAATTCAAAAAACAGGATCCATGACTCGATTCGACACGATTCGAATCAAACCGGATTCCTAAATTGCTTTTAATGTCATATTAATATGGTTTCTATCGAATGGGTCTTCGAATTATTTATTTTATTTGTTATGAATTTGAGTACTCGAAATGCATTGAATGTTTATTCGAATAAACGAATAAAACGAATGAAATTTGTATTACTATTACGAATATTAATATTGATAAAAAAAAGTAATGTAATTTACACGGTTGTACAATTCATTGTTTTAATTGGTTTGAATCGAATCGAATCAAATCCGAAACGAATCAGAAATTTGGTGATTCGAATTCGATTCGGTTTGAATTTCATTGATTCGTTCGGAGCCTTAATTCCACAGCCATCAGGCGCGAGAGCATTCGTTGACAAGTTTGTGATAGGAAAGTTTTATTAAATCTGATACCTGTAATCAATATCATCAGATTTATTCATGATTTTTAAGGAACTATACGATTGGAATGGTTTTTGATCCTCCTGGTCTTAATGGGAGTAGAATTTTTTATGTGAATTCAAGAGACCTGGATAGACACGCCTTATTAAAAGTTTCATGTCTTGGTATTGCCATTACTTGAACGATGCAATTTATCAATTTTATTTATTTGCTAATTTAAGAGCAATAGTATCAAATCTATTGAATAATCACCATAAACATCGTGGCAAAGGTGTTAATCATATTTGTTAAATAGTAATAAAAGGCTAAGTCATATTTGTTTATTTATTTTTTATTTAACCAAGATATTTAATTAATTATGTTAAAAACATATTATTTGAATACATTTGTTGTAATATTACTGAGGGTAATAAGTTTGTTTTGTGCATAATTTAAAATTCTTTTGTGCTAATTTAAAGTTCAATCTTTCTTCAATTATTTAACCTATTGATTGAGTTCACTTTTGTGGGTAGCATTTTACAAATTTAGTTATATCGATTTGTAACTTGGGTTCCAAATATAAAAGAAATTTGGATCATTGAAAACAAGTTTACGACTGAGAACGCATCAATTTTGAAAAAAAAAATTTATCAAATACAATATTAATATGGAGTTCTTTCAGACCGTTTTGGCATATCCATCTATGACATTTTTTTCTATTCAAAAAAAAAAATTATCAAGACGTGTTTAAATTAGCCAATCGGAATTTAATCCAAATACCAAACGTATAAAATGATTATTTCCTGATATTTTCTTTAATCTCTTGGATTTTTTTTTTACTAAAAAAGAAAATTTTGCGAAATTTATTAAATTAATAATTAATGAGGTTTCTTAAATTCGCTTTTTTTCAAACAAAATAATTAATGATGAAAGGGTTTCTCAAGTTCGTTCTTAAACAAAACAATTATTTAAATTTCGTAATTCAAAAACGCTAAAAAGATTATTCAATTGTTATTAGTTCATCCGATCGATTGAATATACCACCTAAGTGTAGATTCTTGCATCCATTCGAAACTAACATCTTTTCCCTCCAAAAATTATTACTATTGATTTTCCTATTTGCGTAATAATAATATTATATGGAAAATAAATTTTTATACTCGGAAAATTTTTATATATTCATATTCAGGAAAATAAATTTTTATACTCGGAAAATTTTTAATATTCAGGAAAATAAAAAATAAATTTTTATACTCGGAAAATTTTTAATATTCAGGAAAATAAATTTTTATACTCGGAAAATTTTTAATATTCAGGAAAATAAATTTTTATACTCGGAAATTTTTTAATACTCAGGAAAATAAATTTTTATACTCGGAAATTTTTAATATTCAGGAAAATAAATTTTTATACTCGGAAATTTTTAATATTCAGGAAAATAAATTTTACACTCGGAAAATTTTTATAGGAAAATAAATTTTTATACTCGGAAAATTTTTATATATTCAGGAAAATAAAATTTTTTTTCCGTATCTAAAAAAAAGATTTTTTTCATTTATTGATATGGAAAGAATATTTTTTCATTCATTCATTATTTATTGATTTTTCATTTATTTCATTTATTGATCTATTTATTATTTTTTCATTTATTGATAAGGAAAGAGTATTTTTATTTATTAATATTAATATATCAGAAAAATAAATTTTTATATTAATAAAAAAACGGACCTCATTTTTGGCATTCCCGTAAGGGAAGGGCCAGAAAATGCATGTCTAGGGGTTCTTAGCAACTCTTAATAATCTTTCCTAAATATACATGTTGTGTAATTTTATAATAATCGAATTAACAAAACACGCACATATCATAATGTTAAAGTTGAGAAAGAGAAGGAGTTCGAGCGTTATTATTGCAAATACACATACATATATGATTTTCTAATTTTCTCAATAGTTTGTTAAATAAATTTTTTTTAAATTATATATATAGATAATAAATATTGATTAATAAATTTTGTTACAATATAATTATTACTGATTTTGTTTTATCTACTATTATTTCCACGTCGTTTTCTACCACCACCTCTATGAAATCTTTTATTTCCTCTAGATCTGCCACCTCTTGAGAATCTGTTACCGCCAGTAGTAATTGTGTTTTTATGTATAATTCTAAAATAATCAATCAATAATTAAATTTACTATATAATAATAATAATAATTAATAAATTTGATTGAATTAAAGAAGTTACCTATTTTCCAGTAATGCAATAACTTCTTCATCACATAAAACACATCCTTCGACAGTAGGACTATTTTCTTTTAATTGAATTTTTATAACGTTAACTTCACAATCTTCTTTTTTGCAAGATTCATTTTTCTTTACAGAAACTCCTAACAACAATAATATAAATATAAATAAAAGTAAATAAATATATATATATATATATCATTATTATTGTTGTTTGTTTACATTATGCATTTACATTTGCAAATGCTTCTACATTAAAGTAAGTGTCTGCAACTAAGTTGTAACTTGGGATGTTGTAGAATTTAGAACATAAGAATTGTAATATGAGCCTGCAACTAGTTGCAACCAGTTGCAGAATTTCAAATCAGTTGCAGACACCAATTTTATTCTACGTACCTTTTACAGTATCTTTAAATTTCACAATTGATTTACAAATAGTACAATATAATTTAAATGAATTAGTAGATGAAGTTTGATCCAATATTAGTTTACCCTTACAATCAATAAAATCAGTTGACATTTGACATTGACAAATTGTATTAGTTATTAAAGAGTAAGTACAAGTTGGATGTAAACATTGACTACAATTCATTCCTAAATAATAAATAATAAATAAATTTAAAGTTAACAAGTTTAGCAATATTATTACTATTCTCACATACCTTTTTTAACATTCTCAAATGGTGGATTACTGTAACAGTAGGGACATATGATGGTGGTTTTTCCATCTAAATTTGTGAATGTCAAAAGTTCAAACTCATCAAGAGGCTTATAATTAAAAAAGTAACATTATTAGTATTAGTAGTAGTATTAATAGACAATGAAAATATAACAGCAGATTTATTAACTCACGCATTTCAATTCTTTAAATAACTATTATTTAAGGATAAAATTTCATAATCAATGTTATTAATAATATAAAAAATTCTTTGTTATTACTATTACTGTTATTGTTATTTTTTACCTTGATATTCCCATTTTGCGGTAATGAATAAGTTTCATTACAGACTGAACAATGCAATCTTTGAGGTCTATAAACAATATTATTAGTAATGCCATAATGATATTGATCTCTTAAAAATTTTTGTTATTAGTCCACTTACTTCATTTGAATATATTTCATATATCTTACAACATAATAAATAATAATTAGCAAATTAATCTATTTAATAATAATTTATTAACAAACAAGACTTAATTACCTTCTACATTTACCACATTTTGACATTACTTTACCAACTGAGGCAAGTGGAGAAAAATTTGCTTCAAATAATTCATCCATTAAATCAATTTTCTCTCCAAAATATTTAAATTTTTCAGCAAATAATTTTAGAAAATATTCTAAAAATTTTGAAAATTCAGCTTTTCCTGATGCAATATAATTTAATTGTTTTTCAATATCACTTCTCATTGTAGGCAGTGATAAATCAGGATCAATTTTACCTATATTAAATGCCAATTATAATAATTAAATTTAATATATTATTATAATCAAACAAAATATGTAAATGATTTTTTTTTATAAAAGGATACAATATCTATTTAAAATATTTATTTATAAAATCATTGATAAATATAATAATGATAATGAGATAATGTTAATAATACTAATTATAACTGTTAATTATATAATCATCATCATCATCAATTTACCCATGAATAAGCACAATTCCTAAATTTGTTGGAACTAATCTACGGTCATTTCCTTTAACTGTAGCATAATTTCTTTGGCATATATTATTAATATGAGTTGGTATGGATGCATCTGTACCAATTCCATGTTTTTCCATCTGAAAAATAATAAATAATCATTCAATCAACTATTTATTAAATGAATAATTAACATTATATATATTGTTTACCAATCCAATGACTTCACTTTCTGTAAAATAATCTGGTGGGCTTGTTAGTCCTTCTGTTAATTTATAATTTACCAAATTTAGATTTTCTCCTTTATGAAAATCGGGCAAATTTTCATCATTTGGTAGTTTACGCCTAGAAAATTTTTTTATAAATAATAATAATAATAATAATAATAATAATAATAATAATAATAGTGTTAATTCAAAATAATAATCAACTACTAATTAATTATTGATTACTAACCAATGCATTATTTTGGAGAAACCTGGTTCTATGACTTTAGCTCCAGTAATTTCAAAAGATTCATTTGCAATTTTTATTAAAATAGTATTTTCTTTCAATTTGATATTTTTACTTATAGATCCAAGAAAATACTTTGTTATAAAAGAGTAGACTCTCCACAAATCACCATACAAGTCACCTTCATTTACTAATTTCATTGGAGTTCTATAACAAAGGAAAAACAAATAATTTAAATAACTTAGATGACAAATAGCAATATTAAATAATATTAACTTACATAGGAGGATGATCACCTAAAAAAATTATGATTAATTAACTGAACAAATAACTAAACACTTAATAATCTATTAATTAATAAATTAATATATTACTTACCAACATCTTTTCCTCCTGTTGGCCTGTCTACTCCATTATCTAACAACTCTTTAGCATATGCCCCCCTTTAAAATTACAAGGCATTAATTAAAATTCAAGAAGAATAATAAAAGCAATTAATTAAAATAATTAAATATTAAATTTTACCATGTTGTGCTATTTACTTGAGTTTTCAAAACAGAAATTAAATCAAAATTTCGTGGATAACTTGTTGTTTCTGTTCTTGGATATGAAATATACCCTTGCATATATAGTTTTTCTGCATGTGACATCTATTATAAATAATGTCATTATCATCACCATCAATCTTTCCCAAAAAATATATAAATGCAAAATTACCATTTCGTGTGGACTAATTCCAAGATTTGAAGAACCAAATTTTAATAATTCAACAGTATTTAATGCAACTGGTCTATATTTTGTTTTTATTTCAGATGTAATGGCAGTTACTCTATTTAAAAAAAAAAGAGAAAGTAATAAATCATATTATTTATATAAATATAATTATATAACATAACATTATATTATTATATACTTTATATCTTTTGAGTTTTCTTCTATCATTTTTAAAAATAAATTAGCAATTTTTTTATCAAATATCCTTGATCTTTTCCATTTTAAAGATATATCGGCATTGTCTTTAGAAATTGTTAATGATAAAGTCCAATATTTTTCTGGTATAAAATGTTGTATTTGATCATGTCTTGATACACAGAATGATAAAGTAGGAGTTTGACATGGACCATATGAAATAACTCGAGAATCAAGATTTCCATATTTCTCATTAAAGAATTTTGTTTGAAATCTAGTAAAAGCACATCCAATCTAATAAATAAATAAGGCAAGTGGATGGATGGATGACAGTTGATAATGACAATGGTGGTGATGATGATGGTTATTTTAATTGTGATAACAGTAATAATTATACTTACTTTAAGATCAAGTTCTTGACGAGCATCCACAGCTAAATAAAAAAACTATTAATTAAATTAATAATAATTGTTAATATTATATTATTGTTATTATTTACCTAAGGCTTCATTTTTATTTGGATAACCTAAATTATTCATTGCTTTATGAATATCTTCATAAGTAATTGCTTTATGAAGTATTTTCAAAGAAAAATTATTATTTAGATCTTATTTAAAAAAAAAGAATAACATTAAGAAAATTTTATTCAATTAATCACCTGAAAACTTTGCTCTTAATATTCTTTGATTTTTAGTTTTACCATCAATTGATGATTTCATATTATGTATAACATTATCAATCACCTCAAAACAAATATTTTCACCTTCTCTGTCACAATCCAACCAAAGTACAAGATAATCAATATCTAATTTTTTCAAAAAAAAAAAAAAAAAAGATTTTAAATTTTAAAATCATTTATATATATATATATTACAATGATGATATTAAATTTACTTTTTGACTCATTATTAAGATGTTTGCAAATTTTGCCCTATATTTAATCAATCAATCAATTATTAGTAAATCAATCAACCAATCAACAATCATTTTAATCAATTAATACTATTGTTCCTTTACATCAGTCTCTGATCTCATAGTTGGAGCAGTAAATAATGTTAATGGATCAATATTCCAATTATTATGTGTCTGAGTGAAATCCAAACTAAAATAAAAAATTGCATTAATATATTATAATAAATAACATTATTATTTATTGCTTATTTATATATTTATTACCCATAAACATGACCCTTAACTGATGTAAATTTAAATTTTGATTTTTTACCATGGAATTCACTTGTATATTCATGAACTGGTGTAATTGATTTTCTTGTATTACACTAATATAATACAAAACATTCAATCAATGTATTTATGATAATTTGAAATTTTAATTAATTGGTTTTCTTACTTGTCCATTAGGTGCTAAAATTTTTGATATTGATTCTGCAAGAGATGGTTTCTCTGCAACCTTTAAAAAATAGAACCATAAAATATATAGTTTTAAATTGACCAATTTATTTAGTTATTAATTTAATTTATTTATTTTATTTATTTACCATTAGTACTGTGTATGACATTATTATTTTTTTTTTAAAGTTATTTTAGCTATTAGTCAAAGGAAATGTCGTGCAGATCTTTTCCAGTAATATATCCTGCCTGCCCAATCCTGCCAATGAAAAATCAATCCGCAATACATATTTATAATGCACGATTTTACCATAAAAGATAGCCCGTTTCAAGAATTAAGCTAACACACCCGCTTATTGGAACCTACCAACTTGTTCAACTTGAAGTTGAGAGAGAGATGTTTCATTACTATTTATTACATTTAGTATATAAATGCGTGTAACATAAAATCCGAATATTCGTGATAAAAAGAAGATTACAGTCAACCCCCAAAGCGCATCCTCTCCAAATGCACTCACTATGCACGCCATGTCTTATTCCCAAACTTACAGTGAGCTTATAAAATTACCCCCTCTAAATGCACACCCTCTCTAAATGCACGTTCATGAGAAATAGTTATATGTTCCCAAGGAGGGTGCAACTTAGAGAGGGTTGACTGTAGTATCTAAAAATCATATGTAGATCACCTGCGTTAAATTGAAACATAATCCACATGCATCTGATGTCTGATGAGGATGAGGAAGTGGAAATGGAAGTTGAAGAAAATCGAAATGATTCACTTCTTTTAATTGGTGGTAGTTTATCTGAAGAGGTAAATATAAATATTTTATATTATAATTTAATAAATTATATTGATTTTTTTTTAATTGCTATTGTCATATACATTAGGCTGTAAAATATCAGAATTAGATGAATTGGCAAAGAAAGTCGCAAGTGGTTCTATTGATAAAAGTCTCAAATTATTATTGATGCTAAATCAATTGAAAACAAAATAAACAGTAGGTAAATAGTTATTTATCTATATGCTAGGCTATATATTCTATGATTTATATATAATATATTTATAAATTACATGTATGTATATAAATTTTTTTTTCAGATATTATATTAAAGTCATGTAAAAAATTAATGAGAAACCAAATTATGTAAATAGTGAAATTGGTAGATTGAATAATATAATTTAAACTGGTAAAATGTCAAATGGTGAATTAGAAGTTTTGCAGTTAGAAAAACCATTTATCAAGTTTTAAGAAAGATAATGATGCAATTAATGAACCTCATGTTAGAATTATTAAAGAAATATATATTATATAAATTATTTAAAATTTTTTTTTGCTTGAAAGTTTTCATTTTTACTTTCAATTGAATGAATCACAAATTTTTCTATTAATAAGTTCCACATCATCATGATCTTGATTCTTTTTTGCCACCAAGGAGGAACAATCATTTATATTCGAATTAATATAACCTTTTAAGTTGATTTTATTGTCACTATTATTATTATTTCAATTTGTTCTAGTAATGATAGATAATTTATTTTTCATATATTTTCAGAATATCACGATTTCAATAATTCTTCACTATATCATGCATCAAGGTCTACATCAACCAGGCTTAAACTTAGTCATAAAACAGAATAGCATAGATCGAATATACCCATAATAATAACAATGCTTTCATGAATTAAATCAGCTTTTCAGTACCTGTGGTGTGTTGTATTTGAATCTTCACCAAGCATAAGTGGTATAAATGATGTAAGTCTTCACCTCAGATAAGAACAAATAGATGAAGTATCTTTCCAGCAACTTGGATTCCAACAATGCTGAATCACCTTCACCCATTTTGCAACCCTTATGAGTCCAATACATCCCATCATTCAATTCCTGCCACAGCTTCATCCAACCTCATAGTTCTTGATTATTATCACAAACCAGATGTGAGTATTTGGAATACAGGAGTTCATATAATTTCTTTTGTGTTTTACCAAAAACATTGCATCTGGTTGTTTTCTCCTCTTTCCTTTCTGATCTTTACTAGCTATGCTTTGTTGTACTGCACTGTGTGGATATTCCTCTGGATACTCTGGTTGTTCTTCTATCACCTGGTATATGACAGACACAGCAAAAATATGATCCAATGGTGGAATAAATAAGGAAGTTACAGGCTCTCAACATTGCTAGAATAGAGTAATATGAGAAATTTATGTGGTTAAATGGAAAGATTTGTTAGCTTGAGAAATTACAAAAGCAAACCAGTTTAGACTGATTTTGAACCATAATCAAAAATTTTTTTGATTTGAATATTTGATAATTCGATTTGAACCATCAACAATTCAAACAATTCAACCATCAGTGGTTCAATAACTTGACTCAAACCAATTACAAAAATTTAAATTTAAAATTTCAATGCATTTTTTTTATTAACTTGAAAATTGTTATGTGAAAGGTTACATGTAGAGTTATCATTTTCTCTTAAATTGGCATAAATCAGGAAAGGTATTAAAGTATGATTATGCTTTGTCAAATAATAAATATTATGCGTGTTGCTTATACCTAATGCTTCTCTACCTTGATAATTTTTTGTTGATTTTTGAATTTTAACCAGGGTTGGTAAATGTGCAGTCCATTGGTCCATTAGTGTAACACTTTAACCATATTTAGTATTTTATTAATGACAATGGACCAGTCCAAAATCCATCTATTTTCAATGGACCAGTCAATTTGCCAACCCTGATCTAAACCAACTAAATGTGCAATTGATCTACCATGTCTTCTTATGACATCTTCTTTCATCCAATTGCAACTATCTTTGGCCTGAATTTTAGTTTTTCCTAATTCTTACAACCTTGCAAAATAAGAAATTTTTTCCATCCCTTTCTTCTAAAACTATCCAGTCATATTTTTTGAGCTATTTATTATTGAACTTAGATAATCTTTTTCAAATCTAAAATAATAATTAACTTAATGATCAGTATGAACAAATTAATTAATAAATATAAATTATAACAATTCAAAATAATATATAACCTTCTAATTTTATAATTATTGATAGAATAGATGAATTATCTAAATTGTATTAATTCAGGAACATCAACATCTTGTATTAATTCAGCAACATCATCTTGTAATGGCACTTTGTGTACCCTTAGAAATGCATCCATTTCTGTATCTTGAAGTTTTTAAAATTATATTTGATAGTATGAAGGGGAATGTTAGTTTTTTGATGTATCTCCTTTGGTGATTGAGTACCACTAAGCCAGTAATGGAGAATTGTTTGTTGTTGGCTTTCAGTCTCATGTTAACCATAGTTGCAGGAAAGGAAAAATAGAACCCCCTATTGTTTACAACTGTGTAACAAATGATTTTCAATTGTTTTAAAGAGCATAGTTAAAAATCTTGTGATTGGTTGATCAAAATTTTGTTATTTATATTTATTTATTAATTTATTAATTTATTAATTATCTTTTCGAACCAAATTAAATTAGAGTTGAACTATATTATGAATTGGAAGTCTGTGAATGTTTGTGAGGTCATGAAATACTTGCTTATTCTCTCTGCAAAGGCTTTTAGTAGGTGTATAAATAATAAATTGGATCATTTTTATTAGGTAAAATTATAAATTTTAGAAATATATATACCTAATATCTTTTTTTGCAATTGATTATCAATTCCAGGTAGAGGTATAATATGTTTATATTTATATTCTGAATTATTGGGCTATTACATGTTGCTTTTATTGAATTAGTAGTAAGTCTTTTATATTCAATTTTAGGATCATTTTGACTACATACTACACAAGGGCCGGTATTTTTTTACCTATACCTTTGGTCTTTTAATAATAAAGAATGAGAAAATTCAGTTAAAAGATTATTTTATTTGTTTTTTTTGAAAAAAAAATATTGTAAAAAAGTAAATTGTATTGTTTTGAGCAAAATTTAAAGCAATCTTTTCAACTATTAAAAGTCCAAACTAAATCCTGCTCAGGGAAAACTATTTTCTGCTCAGAAAAGAACTGTATTATTAGTATCATCATACAAAATTTGAGGTGATGTAAATAAGTGGTGGTATACCATTTTTCTAAGTGGTATTTTTTCAATTTTTACAATACTCTTCACATATAAATTGTTGATCATCTCTGTTGTTTTGAATAAGCTTGATCAACAAATAAATATACAAAAATAGATTTT